ACATCTACCTACAGATGATTTGGCAACTAAATGGGATCTCTCCCATCTAAATGGAACGAAATGGAATCTCTTCCATCTCACTCGCACATTTAATTAGGGAGAATTCATCAGAACAAAAGGAATCAAATGTTTAACTTTCAGGGACCATACCCAAAAACTTCTCAGGTATTGACATGCTTCCCACAAACGTTAACTGCAAAGTTCACAAAGAACATTTCAGTATCATCTGCTGCCAACGTTCTACACATCATCTGCAATCACACGCACCATAACATCTCTCAGGAATGTCCTCTTTTCATGACTGCTCTGTGACTAGTTACTAAAACCTGAAGTCACCTCTACCCGTGGGCAGCCCCTCTGACCCTTCAAGGTATTGTTTCTTTAACCAGTTACCACTTAGCGGAATTCTCCCCAACCGCCACAATACGGTCCTTTCAAACAAACAAATGCAACAACTTCCGAGATAGACCTGAAAGAAATGTACTCAAACGAAGGTCGAGGCAATGGCCGTGAACTCGGGTTTTATTGCTCTGAGCAAGCGCTGCAACTCAGTCATTCTGGCTCTCATGTTCAGCAGCGGTTGCCGAGTTTTAATACTCCAGAGGACAGCACCTTTGTTCCTAGTGTGCCAGCCAGGTGTGGCAAAATTGGCTCTTGAAATAGAACAGAGGACCTCCTGGAAGGTGACAGCAGGCTATTGATTAGTCACTTAGAAACCCAAAGAGCACCAGCCTGCTGGGCCTCTAAATCACATGAACACACATGAAGCGGTCCATCGAGGTCAGTATTGTCTGCTCAGACCGGCAGCGGCTCTCCGGGGTCTCAGGCTGAGGCCTTTCACATCACCCACTGCCTGGCCCTTTTAAAGCAGAGGCTTTTTATGTTTCCCCTTCATGGGGTTTCCCTTACAAATTGGGGACTGTCCCTGCTCCCAGTTCTGTGCCTTGCCTAACTTCCTTACAGCTTTCCCCTGCAGATGGTTTCGCAACCGAATCTAACTTTTGTGCCTGTCTCACTCAGCCTTTTATCTAGGTTTTAGGTTCTGTTCTGTATCTTGCTGGCTACCCACCCTTGTCTCATCAGGAGCCTGCCTCCCTAGCTTTAAACTATATCTGTCCCATAACTGTTCTTCTAGTTCTGCCTCCAGAAAGGTACATGAACAGGCTCTCTCAATGGCGGGCAGGAACAGAGGCTCTATCAAGCAGGAAGCTTAGTTCTTATGAAAATGGTGAAAGGCAATAGCTCAAGGGCACAGCGTGTATGCCACTGAGTCACAGAGGGAGATTAAAATGTAGAATTTGCTGCCAGAGGATGTTGTGATGGCCACAGAAATAAGACGGCTTTAAAAGGGGATTAGATACATTCATGAAGGATCAGTTTATCAATGGCCACTAGCCACGGTGACTGAGGGGAACCTCCACATTCAGAGGCACTAAGCCAGAGCTTCTATGACCTGTTGCTGGCCCTCCAGCGGAACTGGATGGCCACTGTGTGAGACAGGATGCTGGACTAGATGGATCACTGGCCTGATCCAGCAGGGCTCTTCTTATGTTCTAATGAAGGCCTCACCCTCTATGCCCTGTTGTTGGCCCTCCAAAGGAACTGATTGGCCACTGTGTGAGACAGGACGCTGGACTAGATGGACCACCGGCCTGATCCAGCAGGGCTCTTCTGATGTTCATACCTTCCACATTCAGAGGCACTAAGCTTCTGAATCCCAGGGCCAAGAGGCAACGTTAGGGGAAGGCCTCGGCCTCTGTGCCCTGTTGTTGGCCCTCCAGAGGAACTGGATGGCCACTGTGTGAGACAGGATGCTGGACTAGATGGACCACTGGCCTGATCCAGCAGGGCTCTTCTGATGTTCTAAGTCACCAGAATCTTAAGTTGTAAGGATTTCAGGCAGCCAGCATTGGGAAAGATTTCTCCGCTTGAGACTTTGGTGCGATCCTCCTAGTCAGAGCTAGACAATACTGGACTAAAAGGACCCACTAAATGAACCTACGAGGCTGCCTTAAATATGCTTTTCAGAAGCCACACACAGCAGGAACTGTTCGTATTTGTGTTTTACGAGATAACATTTGCAGGCCTAGAGGAGGTAGGCTGAGCAAACTGATAAAACGAGAGCTGAGCTCCTATGCATGCTTACAGGGTACTATCCAAGTCAACTCAGCAGGACTTACTTTTGAGTAAACAGGCACAGGATTGCACTGTAAATCGAACTGTGAGGACTTTAGACCTCTGCGAATGTACAGCAACAGCTGCACGGCTGCTGCTGAACATTCTCTGAAACTAAGCAAAGGAAAGCCCAAGAGTAAACACAGGAGTTACAAACTGCTCCCACAAACACAGGCCCTTCCAGGCTACAAGCTGCTTTTTTCCAGGCTTTTGAGTAAGCATTTGGAAGGTCAAACATGACCGTGCCAATTTGAGCGTAGCAGCTTGCTGTTATAAAAAACCTGGCTTGAATCTGTTGGGGCAAATGACCCCAACTGCTGTTAACTACTAGAGTAGGGGTGGCCAAACTGTGGCTCGGGAAGCTAGGTATCATTAGCAAACAAATATGATTGGGCAAATAAGGCCCCGGTCACACGGGCTGGATATTGCGGGGGGAAGGCGTGGCTAATTGCCCCGGAGGAAACTAACGAGCGGCCGCCCGAGCACACGTCCCGTTCGAGGTCCCGTGGTTAGGGGGGAGATGCTGACCAGACGGCTATCCTGAAGCGCGGCATAGAAGCCGCGCTGCGCGATCGCACTAGCAATCGCTCTTTGTGCGCATGCGCTGTTGCGCAACCTGTGGAGACGAGTGGCGGATGCCACGTAAGTCCACCGGAAACGCAATCAGACGCCCGCCCTTGGCCCACGGTTTCCGGAAACTAGTACCTCGTAAGTACTAGTTTTTTAATCCGCACCTTCGGCGGGGAGCCACGGGAGCACTGCACTTCCCAGATGTTGGGGTGTGATCGCGCCTGGAAAATCCGCGGGACTCCCGTGCCTCTCCTGCGGCAACTTTGCCGTGTGACCGGGGCCTTTAAATCATTATCGATATCTGCTTTTACCCCTTTTGTTATTATTTTTCGCAATCTCATTTAATGTTAATAAAAGGCAAATTTGCATATTTACCAATAAAAACGTGTAATATCTGTTCATGTCTTGGGGCTCTCAAACATCTGATGTTTATTCTGTGTGGTTCTTACGTTAAGCAAGTTTGGCCACCCCCGAACTAGAGAAATCATGCTCCACCCCCTAGCTGGGATTTTAGCAAGCACCAATGAGGAAAAGCAGTTCTAGCTGTCGAAGACAACTTTCGCAGTAAAGGCGAGAATGGTGACTCTCGGCCACAACCCATCGGGCACCGAGCTTAATTAAGTTCTATTGAACAGAAGTCGTGACTGCTGGCTTACATGTGTCCACAGCTCCCTTAAGCAAAACAGGAAATTTATCTGGGCCGATCACAGCTGTAAAGGTAATTAACTAGCATCGGGACATAACGAGCCGGCACTGTAACAGATCTATTGAGGAACTTCAGCGTCAGTACCTTGACGTGTACCATTTCCAGTAGCTGACAAGCAGTTTCTCTGTACCAAAGCCATAATCTTATGAGTTCGAAGCGTCTAAACTAGGCACACGCAACTAGAAAGACCTAAGCCACCGCCACCCTCCCTAAGTGCATCATCTACCTGAGAAAATGCTGTCGGGGCACTAAACAAAAGGGCCCTGGGGAGCAATGCTCCCTCTAAGCTGTGGAGTCTTGTGAGCAAAAATTCTACTTTGTGAGCTGCTGCCATTAAAGTTGTGAGCGAGCGATTTGGCTGCTGCATCAATTAGTTTGCTCTGCAGCCCTCCTTCCCGAGCTAAGACAATAATGTGTGAGCCAGAGGCTAAAAAACCGTGAGCTCGCTCACACTAACTCAGCTTAGAGGGAACACTGCCGGGGAGAGAAAGAGATGACCAGACACACTTGGAGAAAGCTCCGCCTCACTGGTGCTGTCAGTATCTCAGGGATTCGCTTTAGACTCAGCAAGATGCTGCACGGGTCTGGGAGACGAGGATGGGCATAAGCCATACCAGTTGCCTTCTTCCGTGCTGCTGGCCCCAACGGTACAGCCAGCGTCTTGGGCAGAGATCTGGCCCTGGGTGCCAAGCCAAGTGCTGCTGTTGACACACATGTCTGGAGCCGCTTACCCCTTGAACTTATGGATATCAGTGGTCCAGGCGTATCCAATGCTGCCTAGTCTCAGCTTGCGTCACAGGTAATGGTCTTGTTACTATTCATCAATAAACAAGCTTCTCTCTGTGACAAATGTGGGTGGGGAGGATTCAACCTACTTTATGAAATGTGGGTGGGGCTATGGCTCAGTGGCAGAGCATCTGCTTGGCATGCAGAAGGTCCCAGGTTCATTCTCAGCATCCCCAGTTAAAAAGACCAGGCATCAGGTGATGGGAGGGACCTCAATCTGGGACCCTGGCTCAGTGGCAGAGCATCTGCTTGGCATGCAGAAGGTCCCAGGTTCATTCTCAGCATCCCCAGTTAAAAAGACCAGGCAGCAGGTGATGGGAAGGACCTCAATCTGGGACCCTGGCTCAGTGGCAGAGCATCTGCTTGGCATGCAGAAGGTCTCAGGTTCAATCCCCGGTATCTCCAGTTGAAATATCTGGCAGGACATGATGGGAAACTCTTCTGCCTGAGACCCTGGAGAGCCGATGCCAGCTTGAATAGACAATACTGACTTTGATGGACCAAGGGTCTGATTCAGTAGAAGGCAGCTTCATGAATGCTGTGACAAAATGTCAAAAAGACAAAGCATGCATAAACAAACAGATTCCACTGAACGGCCTTCAGAATGTTACAAAACTGATTAGTCCTAAATCGTCATTCAGTTAGAAAAAAGAAAAGGTGCTTAAATATTGCTGTATAAACTACCCGAAATGAATCAGTTGCTAGTTTAGGGGAAGCCACATTCGTTTTTTTTTTTTAAAAGCAATTATAAAATAATGGTTACCATATTTGGAGCCTCCGAGTTTAGCAACATTGTAGAACTTCTTTCCTGTACTGTCTTTCAGTAGCTCAATTAAGTGCTGGAACGGGCAATCTAGAAAACAAGCGACACAAACGTTAAAAGATTTCATCACAATATTTATAACAGCACACATTTAGACAAAAGGAGCTAAATATTGACCTGAGCTTGCTAGCACTAAGTGCGAGTTCTAAAGGAGATTAAACAAATTCATAGAGGAGGAGTCTGTCAAAAAATATCAGCCACAATGGCTAAATGGAACCTCCATGTGCAGAGGCAAAACTGAATTCCTTTTGTTGAACAGCAACATTAGGGAAGGCTGTTGCCATGCCCTACTGGTGTGCTTCCCAAAGGTTTTGGATAGCCACTGTGGGAACCACAGGGTTAGATCCAGCAGGACCCTCCCTATGTTATGGCTTCTTTCATTCTTCCATTGGATAATTTACAATGCTTTTATGCTGTTTTAATTTGTAAACTGTATCAAGCAAGACCCCAGAGAGGCAGCATAAACATTCCTAAATAGACCAATGCTCTCTGGTTAGCTGTTCAATTAGCATATTAACATGTGGAACACTGGATTACTTCTTGGAAGATTTAAAGACAGGAAGGAATGTACTTCAGGCATGACTATGTTTTACCGCTGGACATAAACATGCTGTGGCTGTGGACATTAGCAGTAACTACTCTAGCCTGTGTGTTGTATGTTCAAGAATTCTGAGGAAGGTGGTGCTGGCAGAGTGATGCTACAAAAACTAGGCAAATATTTTATGCAAGGAACATGTGTAAGAAAACAGGATGCGTGAGGAAACTAAGAGGATGCCAGGAGGGAACATCAGGGGAAGGCCCCAGGCCTCCATGCCCTTTTGTTAGCCACCCAGAGGAACTGTTTGGCTACTGTGTGAAACAGGATGCTGGACTAGATGGACCACTGGTCTGATCCAGCAGGGCTCTTCTGATGTTCTTATGAAGGCCTCAGCCTCCATGCCCTGTCGTTGGCTCTCCAGAGGACCGGGTTGGTCACTGTGCAAGACAAAATGCTGGATGGACCACTGGTCTGATCCAGTAGGGCTCTTCTGATGTTCTTATGAAGGCCTCGGCCTCTATGCCCCGTTGATGGCCCTCCAGAGGAACTGGTTGGCCACTGTGTGAGACAGGATGCTGGACTAGAGGGACCACTGGTCTGACCCAGCAGGGCTCTCCTTATGTCCTTAAGATAAATACATTTCATCTGACATTTAAACCCCAATCTGATCACTGAAGTAACCTATATCAAGTTCTTTTAGTACAAGTATTGTTATTAAATACACTGTGCTTGCATTTCCCATTAATGTCAAAGAAGATCACTGCCAAGTAAGAGTTCTTAGTACTGCAGCTTTAAACACACTGGACTCTTTGATGTTCAGAGTTGGGTCTCTTTGGTGTTCAGAATTGGGTAAACAACTTTTGGGTAACAATCATTCTGCAGTATGAATTTAGGAGGACATATAAAACAACAGCAAGTATAGCTTTGCACAATATAATGCTGTTGGCTCTCAATTAAGTGTGCAGCAAGTTAAAAGCAATTCATCCTCTGCCAGTACTTTCTCAACCCTCCGCTCCAGTTATGTAATAGAAGCATCATCTTGGAGAACTAAGAAAAGGCTATACTACTTTATTCAAGCAGCTCTTCCCTGCCCTGAAACAAGAATGCTTTATACACATGGGACAACAGCCAACCTCACTTCAACAGGGTGATGCGTATGTAAGATTGTGCTGGGTTGTTTTATTATTAAAAGACCAGTGTCAATAACAAAAAAAGGAGATTAAAACATTTATACTGCTGGAGATTAAGTAAGAAGTTGCAGAGCCAGGGCGTATGGTTTTTTTTATTATATAGGTTACATATTTTGATTATAGTTTAAAGGGAGTTTATGTGCCTCCTAATGAATGATATATAAACGGTACTTCTCTTTACCACACAGCGCAATAGTGGTTATATATTTATTTCCCATTTATGTGTGGCGGATTATTCACAAACTTTTTGAGACTAGCATATCAAGATTTATAAGACTGAAAAACTAAAGGAATTCCTTAAACATTGTTTAAAGTTTAAACAAAAGGTATGTGAACCAAATTCCCTGAAGGAATAGACTATACATATTGCATTCAGTGTTGGTGGTTTTCAGGAAATGGGGAAGAATACACACTCTTAATTACTAGCAAACAGTAGCGTTCATAATTTACCAACAGTTTTAAAGTTTTATTAATGTAAGATCAAACACACACAAAAAATAGAAAGGAAGAGACTCTCTCGGAACATGCTGACACACGTTCAGTTCAATAATTTTGCCATTTCCTGTATTGTTGGCCATCCAGAGGAACTGATTGGCCACAGTGTGAGACAGGATGCCGGACTAGATGGGCTATTGGTCTGATCCAGCAGGGCTCTTCTTATGTTCTTATGAATGCCTTGCTGTTGCCCCTCCAGAGGAACTAGTTGGCCTCCATGTGAGACAAGATGCCGAACTAGATGGACTATTGGTCTGATCCAGCAGGGCTCTTCTTATGTTCTTATAATATTTCGGGCCATTTTGCTGGAGGAGGGGTGTTTTATCCTGACCCAGAACAGGTTCCTCCAAATCAGTTCCTACAATCATTTCTATTTCCCGTACTACATGAGCAAGCACAATTTCCTCAAAAGCTAAGCAGAATAGTAAAGGGTGAATAAACAGAATAGGAAATCTGATTGTGCTGGCATAAAAGAAGAACAACAAATGAGACAAAACCTTGCTTTTTGTTTTTAAATCTGGATGCAGAGGTGCTATTAGAATGTTACAAAAAAATGTCAAGCTCTCTGGCCTGCTCCTCTCGAGGTGGTGGTGGGGAGGGATTTAAAAAACAAAGAAAACAAAACCTTTCCCTTGACCCAAGCCATTTCAACCAGGCACTCTCAAACCTCCAGAAAAATGGTCTCTCTCCATCCCTGCACAGAGAAAAGGAGGATGCCTGAGAGATGAATTCCAGATTAAGCCAGATACATTTTTTTAAAAGCAATCTTTTAAGGACCTGAGGATTCCCTCATGCAACATTCTACACTCTTCCAGGAGGTGCAGTTTTTGAATCTTGATGCAAGGTTGCTGTTAAAAAAAGGATACAAAGCAAACTGTTTGGCCTGCTTCTCTCTGGAAGGGGGGGGGGGAGGTTTAAAAAACAAGCCAACCGGGACTGTAGCACTGCAAGCAGACACTCCCAAGGTGGAATGTTCCACAACTCCCCCCCCCTCCATCCCCACACAGAGAAAACTAGCATACCAGGCACTCTAGATTAACCTACACACACACAATTGGCCTTATAGCCCACCCACCCCTGCTCATCAAGGCTCAGGGCGGGTAAGAACAATGTTGAAAACAATATTGTAGATTAGTTGTTAAAAACAATTATCACAACAATGAATGAAGATAAAATCATTTATACACACAAACATATATACATGCACACGTGTGTGTATACATATGTACATTTATATGTATCATTAGAAAAGAGCAAGAGTCCAGTAGCACCTTAAACACTAACAAAATTTGTGGCAGGGGAGGAGCTTTCGTGAATCATCTTGACACACGTACACCCCCCCCCGTGTGTGTATATATATATATACACACACACACATATATACATATGTAGATAGATATACACACAAACACAACTGCATACACACACTTGCCAGAATGTGTTGCTTTTCAAAAAGAGTTTTGCTCACACTAACTAAACCCCCGCCTACAAATAAATAAAAAGAACTAACTAGAATGAGGGAATCCTCTCTCTTTTTCAAAAAAACAACACCTTGCATACTTTTAAAAAAAAAAAATGGAGAAAAGGGTCCCCTTCCCCGTGAGTCACTTTCCCCTGCAACGATCTGGGTGGCTGTTTTTAAAGAAAGGCCCTTCACAGGAGCCTAAAACCCCACCACCACCCCATATTTATGAATCTGGGCGCGTTTTAAAGGGGGCTGAGAACCAGGGTGGCTGACTCTGCACTTGGCAAATTTCCTGGAGATCCGGGGTGGTGGTGGTGGTGGGAAGACCTCTGTAGCCTGCGTGCGTGTGTGTGGGAGGCGTTTTCATCACGCCGCAGAGCCCACCCTCCCGAACAGCTCATCCCCCCCCCCAAGAGGAACCGATGCCGAAACAACTAGGGGCGATCCTCAAGATCTCCAGGCCCGACCTGGAGGTTGGCAAGCCCGTGCTAAACAACCCCTTTCCCACGCATGCGCGCTTGCGGGCGCCCCCCCCCCAACCCAGCCTTTCTTCCCAGGCCTCTCCCCC